TACCTACCTTGCCATGAGAAAGAGAATCAAAGAATCACAGTATGCCTTGGAAGGGACCTCAAGGATCATCAAGCTCCAACCTCCAAACCTAATACTAGACCAGGCTTCTCAGGGCCCCATCCAACCTGGCCTTGAATACCTCCAGGGATGGTGCATCCACAACCTCTCTGGGCAGCCTGTTCCAGCACCTCACCACTCTCTTGGCAAAAAACTTCCATCTGATATCTAACCTGAATCTTTCCTCCTTCAACTTAAAACCATTTCCCCTTGTCCTACTGTTATCTACCCTTTCAAAGAGTTGATTCCCATCCTGTTTGTAGGCTCCCTTTAGGTACTGGAAGGCTGCAAGGTCACCTCCTAGCCTTCTTTTCTCCAGGCTGAACAAGCCCAGCTGCGAGGAACGGCTAGAACTGGTGGAAGAATGATCTGAGAAGATAAAAGTGACTCACCAGGCATAATGGACTTTTAATAGACCCAGTGAAATCAGAGCTTCCCATTTCCACAGCAGGCACTGTCCACACTGAGGATTCTGCTGCCTACTGCAAAGCCCTGCTGCAGAGGGGCATAACTGCAATTTCTAACAACAAAATCTACTCAAAACCAGAGACTGCTCCTAGGTATAGCTGAGGAAATTCCCAGCATGTTGCTAGCCCTAGCAGCAGTAACTGATAATCATTATCTGATGGCTGGTGCCCTTTTTGAAACAAGTGTGGCCAGCCTTAGGCAAGGACTAACGATACCAACATCACGAACTCATAATAATTGGCATTAATTGTTCCTTTGTTGACAGCACAGCAGATCTGCCAAGGATTAAATGGATCATAATGACTAAACTCATCTGTAGCAACAGCCCTTCAGCACTTGATTGGGCTGGTGAAAAGCATTCACACAGTCTCTGTCTATTTGCAGTCGGACTCGAGGCTCTATCATTTGTGAATACTGCACAAAACCAAGGTGTTGTTTTTTTGTCATTTCTGCAAGAAAGGACGGTGATGTTCATGCCTCTGAAGGTGAGGATGCGCCTCTCCCTAGTAGGGATGTGAACCTAGAGAAATAACAGCTGTTCAGCAAGGCCCAAACTTTCCAATCAGCCAGTCACTCCCTTCTTCCAAATTTCTTCTTTGTAGCTTAGTAACTTGCTGCCAAAGCACATTTGAGACATGCACTCAGCCACACCTACAAACTGCTGCGCAATATGCCCTGCACATTAATTTTAAACCTCAGCCTATGGGAGAAAATTTCTACCCTGAGTTTGCATGGACTTTCAGCTGCAAGCTGTTACACTAAGGCTAAATAAGATTAAAGATCAATTAAAAGATGCAGATGGGCCAGCTCAGCCTCCAGAAAAGAGTGAGCACATTGCATATTTATGATCTTTCAAATACACTTTGATGACTCTGAATAATAAGCTACCTTGACAAGAAAAAAAGCTACATAACCAGAGATGCAATTGCCCAACAAAACCAGTATTTAGTTTACTTTTATACAATTTGATGCATGAAGAAATCTTTCCAGTGACCCCTCTCCCTCTTTTGGACATGGATCCAAACACTCAAACATCCACACAGGAAAGCCTGACAGTTAGGAAATACCATCAAAAGTATCCAAACCAGAAATACAGAGGAAAAAGAATGTAGATTAGGAACTCTTGTTTCAGGTTTTACCAGGCTGAACAGTTTAATTCAGCAGCCATTGATCTAAGAAGTTAGTTTGGGCTACAAAACATTGGGAAATACTCGCAGCACAGAAGCCAACGGGAGTAGTATTCAGTCTATTCAGATCCACTCTAACTTAGAGCATGGTTCAAAAGCTCTGCGCTGCTGAAACCTAAATAGGGCAGGCTGCAAGACTACTCCATGCTTCACGACAACATTTACATTTATCTATCATGCTACACACAAAGCAGTCCTTGAAATTAAGGAAAAGGAACCAAAATCAAACAAAGTGTGACTTCCTAATATGGTCTGATCTCCTTGAGCTGCCCAAACTGGTTCTCTTGTTCAAGACCATACCATAAAGCAGAATACCAAAACTACAACCAACACAGCAGAGTTGGCTAGCCTACAAACATGCCCATTTTCACCGAGGAATATCCAGAAAATCAGAAATCACAAAACTACACATGGAAAAGACTCGCTGCTACTTCTGTAAAGAGAACACTTCACAAATCAATGTACCAGTTAGTTGTTCTTTCCTCCCCTCTACTTCTTTCTACTATTCTTAATTACAGGGTTTTAGACCACCAAAAAGCACAGTACAGTGACAGAAGTCAGTGCTCTACTATCAGTCATCTCATAAAGCCTCAGGGAAAAAAAAGAAATCAGAACCTACTCTGGAAGATTCATTAAGGTAATCTTTTGGAAGAACTGAGTTATCCAACGGGTCTGATGAATGTCTGCAAACTTACAGGAAGAAGGAGCTGAGGCATATATAGTTTACAGAAACAACTTCAATGCCATGCCTGTCAACTGTCTTATTAAAGTATATTATATGTTCTTTGTGAGTAATCTTAAACTGGAAATTATTAGTCAAACATGATTAATGTATAGTCAGTATGTAAACCTATATATGTAAAGGTATATATGTATAAATATACATACATACAAGTGAGCATATACAAGCACACTCACACATACAAAGATCTTCATAAAGTATACCTATATAAAGGTAATGCAACTCCAAAGATGCTCAGAAAAGGGGGATTCACACAGACACAGAAAACAAAGGAGAAGTAATCAAAACTATGTTTACTACAAGAACTCGCTGCTGCTATGCTGGATTGCTTTTGGCAAAAACAGGCATGAAATACAAGCAAATGGCAGAACCTCTATAAAGTAGCTATAGGTTTGATGCAGCAGAAGAGTAGTCCCATTATCGAGTGTTACTTGGAACTTATTTTTATATTTTATCTATTTCCTGTTGCTTCAATTTTTCTAACAAAAAAACGTAATTGTCTCTTTTGCAAGAATGAAGACAGTTTTAAGGTTGCCTCATTCCCAAAAATGCCTAAAATAAACTGAAGTGACTATTCAGCACAAGGCTTTCAAAGAGTACCAACAGTGTCTGTCTAAATAGACAGAATCTGGACATAAATTTGAGCTTCAGTTATTAGCAAAAAAAAAACCAAAAAAAAACCAAAAAAAAAAACCAACCAGAACTAAAACAAAGAAAGAAACAAAAACCTCTGGGCTTACAGGGAGGTAAGCAGAGAGAAGTCCAAGCAGGCTCCAACTTGGACCAAGTGGTGAAATAATCATGGCAACATGAAAATGTTTAGTATGTAGGTACCAAAATTAATTTCACTGTCAAACTGTTTAATTAAAGAGATCAGCACTTAGTTACATGTGAAACATTTCTGCCATAGTTAGGTTTTAATCTGTGTTTAATCTATGCTAAATTCTATATGAAGACAGACAAGAATTGCAAGCCACAGTCATCACTTCGGAACCCTGACCTGCTGCTATCTAGATCTTTTCCCAAACAGCAGATGACAAACTAATTTGCAGTTAGCTCCATGTACTGCTGCCAGCACGGAAACACTCACAAGCCAATTATGTATCATTCTGCACAGAACTGCAAAGAGACCTTGCAACCTGAACACTGCTGTTGATGCTGGGTGTACTTACACCCTAGGGACTGGTTCCCATTCGCCCCAGTTAGCAGCGAGGTGGAAGTGGAAATTTCAAAAGGTACAGAGCAGAAACATGAACGAAGAAGAACAGAAAAGAATGTGAAAGAAAACTACTCCCCAAAGCATTAAGATTCACTTGTAATGGACAGAGAATGCATTATTAAAAACAAAACTAGCTTTGCCAAGAATTAGCCATGTGGAGTTGAAAGAGCTAAGTAGAAAATCCAGTCTCAAGCTCAACATCAAGTTAAAGATTTACAAAAGACTTTTACTTAAGTTATTATTAGACAAAGACTCCTGGAACAGCATTCTGAAATTTTAACATTTCCACTGTTGGCAGAAGATTTCTGAAAGACATCAGACAAGGCAGCTGTCTTCTGCTTGTCTCATGAAGTTCTACTTCACTCTGGCTAAGTTACAAGCTGGTTAAATACAGAGCCATAACCAAGCCCTCCCTCATGGTATTTCTCTCTTTACACTCATAATGGTTAAAGAATTTCTGATTATATGCTAAATGATCACTACATACTTGAAAAACCACCACCAGCAAACTACCACCAAAATAACAGACATAAAAATAACCTGGAAATATTCCCTCTACTTTTGTTTGGTAAGCAGGGCAAAATGGATGACCTAAGCTTAAAAAAAAATTTAGGGGAAAAAAAAAAAAAGAAAAAATATCAGATTTCTCCCTGACTCTTGCAGGCTGGTTGTGCAAGCTTTCCATAGGCAGAGGCAAGCTCATCTAGAGTTCTCCCTCTGTGCACTGTATAAGACTGCAGAGACCTGCCATCAAGTCACCCTGGGAGTGCCACCTCCTTTCCTAAATACTGCATACAAGGAGGGCAGTGCTTTCCCTTTCCCATTCTGCCAATCCACTGCGTGGCAGCCACAGTTAATTTCCTATTGCTGTCAGCTCAGGTATACAGAACCTCAGAGCACTGCAGACACACCAGTACATACATATATATGTGTACAGGCTCCCACGGGCAGTGGGCAAAATCCCAAGCTCATGTAAGTTCTATAAATCCAGAGTGCTTAGAATGCTTGAATGCTAAAAAACATGTCTATAATTCAGGAAAGGTAGCAGTAAAATGTGCAAATGAAACCCTGCTGTGCTTCACCAAAAAAAAGAGGCAGAGTATACCTAAATCTGTTACACTATTGTTATGATACATCAATAACACTACTCCATGGACCATCACACTTCCACTACGAAGATCTGTTCCAAAAGACCTGTTCAGCATCACTACAGCTTCTTCTCAGTGTTATCACTATCTTCACACTCTTTCTTGTCTCTAGAAATTCAAACAGCTCATTAAGGCCCAGGATAGGTATGAGGAAGCATCTTCCCATTTTTCATTCTTACCTTCTCTCCACTGGAGTAGAAGAAATAACGCAATCGGACAATGTTACAATGATCCAGCTTTCTCATAATCTGGAGCTCTCGGTTCTGAAAAGAAAAAAAAGGAGAAATGCAAATGATTAGGAACTCTTAATTACTTTACCACTGAAAATACTGATGTCACTGAACGTATTTTCCCTCAAAAACAAAGATCTGTAGATACACTGCAAACCCAAGAACTATCTACTTTACATTACTAAAGTATCAGTGTTAACAGTCAAGAAAACATTAACTTTGCATTTTTATTTTCCGATCTTACCATTATACAAGGTATCAGCCAGAACATTTAGAAGGCTTCCTACTTGAATACTGTAAAAATAATGTAAAAGCAAACATAACACTTCTACTCCTCCATCCATCAAACTGACGGCCAACTGAATTCCACCACTCTGATGTCCAAGTGAATTTCAACACACTGATGGCCACCTGAACACCACCACACAGTGCTCTCTCATTGCCTTCCTCAAAGGATGAGAAGCAGGAGAAAATATGATGAGAAAAAAGGGGAAAAAAAAGCTCACAGGTGGAAATCAAGTGAATTCCACCACAGCCAGATCCAGAACAATGCTGTGAAACAGGTGTATGATGGAAAAACTTTTCCCTTACCATCCTCCTTGAAATGCCCACAAAAAAGACAAGTAATTGAGAAGGGAACTCAATTCCCAGTTTCATTCAACCATGGTTTAACAAGATGTAGGCAGAGAGAACAGCAAGGCTATTTTTTCCATTTTATATCAACTCGAAAAATCTGTTAAGATAAAAATCAATTCATTATATACATAATAAACTGGGGACTTTACTGCAAATACCCACTGCAACTGAGCCCTAAACAGATTAGGGAGCTTCTAGTCTAATAGACAAAATGAGTGAAATTAGTTGAATTTCAGGTATGGACAAAAACATGCAAGTAAAATTAACACAGTTATGTTTTATATTTGGTTCCACAGCTGCTGCTCTAACACTCCTCTCTCCTGTGGTTACACATACACATCGCTTTTTCCTTCCTCATTTGCTGTATCTGTAGTTCTAAAACCAGAAGGTATTTCAACTTTAACTTGGATCACAGGGTTGCAAATCATGCAACCTGACTAGCTAGGATCAGATATGTACTAGTCCTACTAGCTTCATCAACCTTGAAATATTCAGGAATATTTACGAAGAAAACTCTTTAGCTACAAAACATCCCCATACATAGATGGTCAAAGTTCACACGTTGTGAGGAGCCGTTGTTGAAACATGGATATCATATTCTGAGCATAAGAGAGTCACACACACTGCCTATCACTACTACTGAAGCTTGAGGAACTCTGCAAGAATTCTGAAATTCTCCTGAAATCTCACGGAGTGAATCTGTGAAGGAGGAATACTGGGTTCACCACGTAACCTCACCTACACACCTTGCACCCAACGGAGAAAAGAGTTCTTCCGGCAGAAATGGGAGCATAAATAATCTCCACCTACTCGTTTCCTTATTAAAAATTACCAATAAGAAGTCATTTCTGCTTGTTGTGTTTGGGGTTCCTGTGACATATGGTACAATTCTGACTTTCGACGGACAGGAAGATCCTGTCTTCTCATTTTGTCCAACCTGCATACCACTGCTCACGCGGTGCTATCATCTCAGTAGCTGAAAACCCATCACAGATTTTTAACTATCATAACAAAGCTGGGATGGATCTAAACCTCATCAGTCATAGAAACACTTCTTGTGATGAAACACTTGTTTCTCCAGGTGGATTTTACAATGCTTAACAACATTACTACCCAACTGAAACTAACACAAGAATTCTCTGTACCTCCAACTCAATTCTACCAGCAAGAAAAATGATTTTTTCCACCATTTATCCCAGTAAGATGGAAATAATACCATTTATCTCAGGGAATTACTGAACACATGAATATACTAAGCACATACGTGTAAAAACTATTTTAGCAATCCCTCTACTAGCTCCTTAAAATACGCATATGACTCTTAAGTCAAGTTATTGCTTGAAGCTCTTAAGATAGCATGTGTATACTGACTGAATGCACTGCAAAAAAAAAATCAGAAGTTACTCTAATGCAAGGCTGAGGTTATATTTATCCCCTGGTACCTCAGCCCAGCAGAAGCACAATCTGTGCCTACTCTGATGCCTTCCATTTAGACTCGTCTCCTTCGGCTCTGACCCCGACCATCTGCTGTGGCTCCACAGGCAGTGCTTCAAAGGGTGCTAACATCAGGGATAACCATAAACCAGTTACACAGTAACCTACATCTAGCATCCCAGAAACAGCCTGAATGAAGCAACTGTCATCTTAGTCAGTCCCCTCAGCTGTCTTAAAGCCAACCAGATTTTCAATCATCACTCCTGATGGAGGTGAAAATGGAATACTCAAACAGTCACAAAAGCTCAACTGGATGTGGCAGAGAAGAGAGCTTCTGATGCTCATGTCACAGACTGACGCCCTTAAGAACTCATTTCTCTCCAACAAATACATCAAGAATTCTCACTGTACTACTTCACTGTATGCTTCTTAAATACTTAACAGTCATTTCGCATCAAAGTGGGTCGTGCACAAATACAGTTAAAAAACAAAACAAAAAAATCCTGAATTACACTAAAGGAATCCTTTGTGAAGAGAACAGTGATAGATGTCCTAGACCGTGTAAGAGAAAAAGCACACAGCTAGGTATGATGCAGGCTAAAACCATTTCAAAACATGTTGAAGAGACAAGCTGACAGGGCATGACCAAAACACAGGGTGGATGGAAACATCAAGCTTGTGCTCATCCTTCATTCATCTCTGTCTTTCATGAGTGACATTAGTGAAAAGTCCAAGACTCAGACAGGAAGTACTTCTCCCACCTCTATTCATAGGAAGAGAAAGATTTAGTTTGCACACCGAGAATTTCAGCCCAGAGAGCGATGAAGGCAGCTTCAACCTCCAGCACCAGCCCTTCCACAAGAGAGGACCCTGATTATCTGAAACACGGAGCTCTTGTGGTACACACTGCACTCCAAGAAGCAGCAAAAAAAAAAAAGACAAATGGCACCACAAGATGATCCTTCAGTAGATTTCTTGTGCAATTTGATTTATCTAAAATCCAGAATGCAAGGGGCTGCTAACACACAGTCCCAGAAGACTGATTTGCAACCAGTGCATTTCAGCCTTTCAATAATTACTGGTGCAAACCTAATGTGACAAAAACCTGTTTATCGCTTCTGAAGACAACTTTCCTAGCCCTGTCTCTGAATCTGTTCATTATATTGAATAAATACAGTTGCTCTAAGTTAAAGATTGCCAAGACATCATCAGATTTGTAGCTTTTAACCACAGCCAATTAAGCTGATGCATGAAGATGCACGCCTTCTCCCTGAGGTTGTACCCCAACTCCTCACAGCAATCCTAATGCTGTAGTTGATGTAAAACCACCAAAGCAAAATTATTTCTGGCTCACTACCTTAATCTGTAATAACGGACTAGGATAACTATCTCCCAACGCATTCTCTTCTGCCCCCATCCAGATTTCTAGAGCTACTTCAGCTATTTATCAATCCTAATCTGGATCTTTCTGCTGTTTTTGTTTAAATAATTTCACAAAATGACTGGATCTTAAAGGATTATGGATTTGAAACTTGAACTGCATCAGATCAAATGGAGGTGGAAAAGTCCCGTGCAGTGCCCACTAGCATGTCAGAATCACTATAAACTCAATGATGTGTAGAAATATCACCTGGATATAGTTCAGAAGAGATGTTCTCGGAGTTTCCTTGGCTAAAGAGCATGCTGGATTTTGCTCTTTTTTTCCTTCCTAAATGACTGAAATCTCAGCAAGGTACTTTGAAGATACCGAAAGCAGATGAAAAACAAGAAACTAGGAAGCTGCATTTTTGCTTTGATACACCAGGGTTACTACCTGGTTCTTGTGACCACATAAGATTGTGTACCTCTGGTTCTCTTCAGAGATGACATCTTTTTGAGGGAAAGGCAGCATCCTTTCAGGGGCAAAATGTTAACCTATTTCAACAATTTCAGCAACCATCTTCTCTACTAAAGGTAACGCTCATTTTTGCACTTTGTCTTTATTCTTCTTAGGGCAATACGTGCAAATGCTTGAACTCAACATGCCCCATTTTCCTCTCTGGTTGCAAAAAGATGATAAATAACAATCATCACAAATTCTGGCATTATACACAGACAGAAGCAGCATAGGTAGATCCAAATTTCTTAGCATACACAATTCTCCTCTTGTATGTTTCACATTTACAGCTTTCTCCTTTTTTTCTACTGCCTCCATAATTTTCTCTGTTCTACCATGCTTCTTATTCTTCTGCAAAGCTTTCTGCACAGTGACGAGCTGGAGCACGGGGTCATTAGAGCAGTGGAGAAAGGAACTAGTTTCCAGCAAGAGGCGTGAAAGCTATGATAAAGCCTCAAGTCTGGTTTTTGGTTGGTTTTTTTTTTCCTCTTATTCCTGCTTCCACTTAAACAGCTTGAATGGCTGGGCACCTCCGTTCATCTGCTGCACTACTGAGCCTCTCTGGAGAAAGGGTGCAGGCCGTCACCTTGAAAGACATCAAGCATTTCCACAGAGCAGAAAGAAGTATCACTATCCCATCCGTGTCCCATCACCTGCAAAAGGCTGCACAGGGCAGCAGTCACACATAGACAGGTCTTCCCATCTGAGGTCTTCTCTACAAATTCCTTGAGCTGCCTGACCCGTCCCTCCAAAAATGCATTTCAAATGCCGTCAGTCACAAGGCTCCTTTTAACACTGTCTTGCTCTCACCAAAAGAATGTCAGAAATTACTCTAGGGCTCAAAGAAATAACTTCTTTCCACAGAAATACGATGATTCAGTCATTTACAGAATAAAAGGTTAATTCCTAGATTATCCTGTATTTGCCCCAAGCCATCACTGAAATAAACCAGTGCTTAAAGGAAAAACAAGTGAAAAGGGCTTAACTACAGAGGTCAGGGCTGGGAATCTGCCCATGCCAGTCATTAATAGCCAGTCAGGCGTGAAAAGTCCATTTTGTGGGCAAGCAATTTCAAGCAGAGAGAAAT